CATCATCATCATCATCATCATCATCATCATCATCATCATCATCATCATCATCATCATCATCATCATCATCATCATCATCATCATCATCATCATCATCCTCTTCCTCCTCCTCTTGATCCTCCTCCTCCTCATCCTCCTCATCCTCATCCTCCTCCCCCTCCTCTCCCTCCTCCTCCTCCCTCCCATTCCTCGTCCTCCTTCTTCTGATGATGAGTATTATTGATATGATTGACAATAACAATACAAAGATGCGTATTCGTCTTATCCGTATCAGTACACCTGGTACTAATTATACTGCCAACTTTAAGGCCAGTATACGTAGGAGCATTGTCATGGTTGTTATTGGTATTACTATTAGAAGTATTAGTATTCGTCTGGTTAGTCTCCTTCTTATTATAAGTATAATTATACTTCGCAATAATCGAAATATCATGATTATGAGTATTATTAGGCTTCTGCATAGTAGTAGTGTTGTGATTACTGTTAGTAGTACTGTGATTCGATTTCCTCTCCGTTTTAGTAGTATTAGTCTGATTGTCATTCTTGTTAGTATTGATCGTCGCCTGCGTATTAGTATGATTCGACGCATGCCTCTTATCATGCATTCAAATTATTGGCGGTATGATTATTAGTATTCGTATTATTCGTGTTGTTATGATTCGTATGTTTATGACTCGTCTTAGTCGTCTTTGTATTAGTCGTATTTGTATTAGTCTTCCTAATATTACTCGCATTCCTCTGCTTGTTCTTCTGATTATTCGAATGATTCGCATTCGTACGATTATGTTCATGATTGATACTATTATTATCTGATAACTAGTATGATTCGCATTCTTAGTATCAGCATCAGTCTTACTAGTATTATCGTGCTAAATGTTATTATTCGTTTCCTTAATGGTATTATTAATTATTATTACTAGTAGTATTGGTTTTCGTCTTCTTATTATCCGTAATATTTGTATTCGTCCTCTTTTTCTTCATCATCATCCTCGTGCTCCTCCTCCTCCCCCTCCTCCTCCTCCTCCTACCCCCCCTCCTTCTCCTCCTCCTCCTCATCATCATCATCATCATCTTCTTCCTCCCCTCCTCCTCCTCCTCCTCCTCCTTCATCCCTCTCCCTCGCGAAGGGACGATGGGGCAGCAGGGCCAGCCCGCAGAGGGCCGCCGCCTTCTTGGGCGCCATCTGCGCGCCGGACGCGAACTTCTTGCCCACGCCCGAGACGTTCCAGATGGTCGACGCCTGGGCTCTTCAAATCTGGACGCCCGAAATGGGAACGGGAAAAATGGGTACGATGCCAAAGCAGAACTTGTGACCAGGACCGACAGCGGCCGCTGTTCGGCAGGCGACCTCCCGTCTCCGATGGACAGCGTCCGCGGCGACACCGACAGCGAGTCCTGCTCCGAGTGAGCAGGAACTGCAGTCGGTCTGCGTACCACCTCTTTCCGTACCCATGTCGATCGCACCGATCAAGGAGCGCGCGGGGGGGCGGAAGGCGCGCCTGCACCGACCCCGGCCAGGCCCCTCTGGAGCCCAGGGGTCGGTGCACACGCCAGGCGTCGGGCCCAGCAGGGGGCCGAAGCAGCCTCGAGACCCCTCTGCCTCAGGAGCCCTCCCTCGTGGCGAGATCCCCAACCCCCTCCCAACACTGTGTGGCTCCCATCGTACGTAAGGACCACATCCCAGAAATAATTTCGAGCACCCAGAAAAGTATCGAAAGAATGTCGAAACAGTGTCGAAACAGTGTCGGGCGAGTGTGTCCCAGGGCCCGACACGTGAAAACCCTCGAGTTCCGGTACTTTTCTGGCGCTCGAAATTCCTTCTGGTGATCAAGGCTAAAGCAGGTTGGAACATCATCACGCCTCCACATCGGCGGGGGAACGACAGGGAGGGGAGGGCTGGCGCTGGGGGAAGAGACATCGACCCCGAATCGACGATACATCGCTGGTAGATCGGCGACAGACCCCCGATAGCGAATCCGCACGCTCCCTGGTGAGGTGGGCTCTCGGGCCCCTATCGGCGATCCATTCGCGCTTGCGGGTCGAGGCGCCCCCCCGATGCCTATCCCCCCTAACGTTGCCCCTGACGTCCAGCGGCGCGCTCGAGAAGCTGGAGGCGGCAATCCTTTAACCATTCTAGGCCTCCAGATCCTCACTGACTCACCACACGATGTGGAAACTGCACCCCGAGCAAGGTCCGACCCCCCCCCTGGTGTTCGGGTCGCAACTCTGCTCTCCGGCGGCCGTTCGGGAAAATCTGGGCATCCCCGGAACGCTCTCGGCGAGCCGCAGCTGCTGGAACGCAAGCGGAGGCTGGAAAACCGCTGAGAACTTATAAAAATATGCGAAAACCTCGAACCTGAGACTCCTCAGCCTATTCCCCCCTAACGTTGCCCCTGACCTCAGGACCCCTCCCTCGTGACGAGATACCTGCCCTCTCCATCACTACGATGACGGCACCATGCACAGTACCATGTTTGGACTCACTCCGTTCAGGCCCCGC